CAATCTGGCATGGAGCAAAAATGGTCCTGCAAATGCAACTGACATTAGCCAGCTTTCTATCTGGCCATGTATCATGGTAAACTGTCCAAAAAACTTGAAAAGTGGGGCGGATGACTTCTAATAGGGTGCTGGAATGTGAGTTGGTCGAACAAACATCGAAACCGTGTTCCAGTACTGGTGGATGATGTCGGTAGTTAGGCAACACGGATATAGGGGCTGCCGGTGCATATACAGATTAAAATAACTGTTGACTACTAGCGACTCTCAACCCTTTCATCGCTGATGCACACCGTAATTCACACATATTATGCATGCAGGTTACGATTATTATTAGCAAAGAGTTGCGGATTCTTTACAGAATCTCTGCAGCATCCATTTATCACGGATGCATGGGCAAGCATTTGGTGTGGATGCTGTGGTCCTTGCTCCCGACAGGAGGCCTTCAAAGCATCTCTTGGAAGAGGTGTGTGTATTCAATCCTTCGCTATAGTCTAGGCGGTTAGGATGCGAGATTCTCACTCTCGAGACCCGGGTTCGAGTCCCGGTAGCGAAAGGATGAATTATGGAATCGTGCTGAAATAGGCACGTCACAGAGGGTCGACATCGTATAGTGGTCAGTATCCCCGCCTGTCAGGACTCGAGCCAAGACACGGAACGCGGGAGGCCGGGGTTCGATTCCCCGTGTCGGCGGTTTTCATCTCCACGACCGAGGTTCTTCATGGTGGTTTCGCTGAACCACCATCCTAGAACACTTGTGTTCACCACCTCTTCAAGGACACCTATTTGCGCATGCTTGCCTGGATACATATCCATAAAACATCAAAAGATGAAACCGAAACCTGGTATCACACCTGGTATCCAAGGATGTGGTATGTCATGGCAGCATGTGCATGCTGTGTATAAAGGGCCATGTTGACAACATATTCCTGACGAGCTCGAGGTGGCAATCGTGACTATTGTAGGGCCGTAGGGCCACCGACACACCCATGTCGTACCTTTGATGCTCGCATCCCCAGAATAGCAACTAGCTTATAAACTATGTCGTAAAGCCAAACATGCATGGTGCCGTTTCAGTGCTGGCTACATCAAGGAAAAACGAGTAGTAATACCTTAATACGGGCAGAAGGGGGAACAACTATATAGCACAAATGATCCAGTGGATTGTTTTTCTTGTGTTGTGTGTGTGTGTGTGTGTGTGTGTATGTGTGTGTGTGTGTGTGCCTCTGCTGGATACATTTATACCAACCCAGCGAGTGTTTGGTGCTGTAGCAGCTGACCGCTGAAAAGGTCTCTCGAGTTGCTGGCGGTCGCGCTCTGCGCGTATTTATAGCGCCGTACTGTGTACCGGCTGCTACATTCCCCCCCCTTTGAAG